ACAGATAGCACTTGTTGAAAACTAATTTAATTTAATTTCTTACAACCAGTTGCCTTTAACTCATGCGAACTTTCCTCAACAGCATCTACCTTTTAAAAATCTCTCCTGTTTCATTTTCTCTGTTTCTGTACTGTTTGCATCTGACAAGAACACGAAAGTTAAAATTCACTGGGGGGAAAAAAGAAAAAAAAAACCAAAACCAACACCTCAAAGCCAAATAACTTATGACATGAAAGCTTTGGATTTTACTAGCCTTCCTGAGTTTCAGATGTCCTAAACCATAAAGGTACAACTATCTCATTGCTCTGCACCCATATGAACCTTGTTATGTTAAAGTGAACACAAATCCAACGAATACTTCCCGGTTTATAATAAACCTTCACAAAGAAACTGTCCATATTTTCCCCATATGCAGGCACAGCTGTGCAAAGGCACATCTGCTCGGGAAACTAACATGGATCTTTGAATTTATAGTTTAAGATCCTTAAACTTGATGGCAAATTATGATAAAACTAGGAATATCAGTTCCTGTCTCCAACAGAAAATATAAATCCCTCTTTGATTGATACTGATTACAGGAAGGAAACAAAGCACTTATATTTCCCCATGTCACGAGAAATTCCTTCATTGCAATAAACATCCGGTTGATAGGAATATCTTGGGAAGGTAAATGATACTATATTTGTAAGCAAACTGAGAAAAGAACAAGTGCTGATTGGCCATATAGTTCATACATCCATGTAGCTCCAAACAGACCACAGCGGGCTATGAGTTTGTCAGATTCATAAACTACAAAGATTGCATATATTAAGGTATGTCAAATGTGATTGCTATTTATTATTATCCCGCACCCTTTACTCAAATATCCAGTCCATACGTGTAAGTCCAGCTCAACCGAAGTAAACAAATCCATTGATTTAACACTTTATGGCTCGATTTTAAAAGGGGCTGAGCCTGCAGGGGAATATCTAACATATGCTTGAAGTTAAGCACAAGCCAACCCAGTGAAATTAGTGATATTGATCACATGCTTAAAACTAAGCATAAACTTCAACATTTTCCTGGTCCATGCTTGCCATAGCAAGTCCTGAGTGTGACAGGAACACCTGCAGGACGCACCCCAGCTTTGCCTAGTGAAAGTTGTAGCTGTGGCTGATCTGTGCAGTTGCCATACCTCATGACCAGCAACACCGCCCTGACACCTTGCAACCCCGACCAAATGCCTGGCTTTCCTTCCTGAATGGCACTGGCTGAAATTGGGAGGAAATGCGTGAGAAGACTGGTGTGGCCCCGAGTGGCTTCAGTGAAGCTACTCAGCCATTATTTTACATTACCCTTTGAAAAGTGAAGGAAAAGCCCGTCACCCTCCACAACAGAATAAGGGTTCAGCGAAACCACCTTCCAGGTCAGCAAAGGGCCAAATTCTGTTACCTCCATCACTGTCAGCTTGGATTTCGTTTCCTGATTTCAGCAGGGTGACTTCCCGTCTCACAAGCATAGCTAGGACCAGAATTGGACTCTTTAGAGCAACAAAAATGATACCTCAAGATATAAAATTATTTTTCTGTAGTGACATCAGCCAAAATCACGAGGGAGCTCCTGCCTGAACTCATTCACCCTTTCTCTATAAAATTACAAAGCCGACAAACATGTCCTCTCTGTATCTACAGCTTTATAGAGGCCAAACTTTTTTTTTAAGTCATCCCCACTGCTATGTAATTATCTTGCCGTGCTGTCTCCTTATCACACGGCTACTACAGCCAGTACAGGTTTCCCTGTGGTGGTGTACATCCAGGACAAAAAGAAGGCAGTGTTACCACAGATGACAAGCAGAGCTGCACGCAAGGTGGGACACGGCGTCAGCAAGTTACATATAAACCAGGCACTACATTGAAATGGATGTACTGAGTGCTTGAATTACACACGGGTGAAATTCTCTGACCTAAATTTAAATGGGCTTAAAATTAGAAGTTCTACCACGTAACCAGAGGACAGAAAAAAAGAGTAAAATTGCTAAGGAAAAAGCAAATGCATGAAAGACATTTCTAGCAAAAGGCAGCTGTCAACTCTGGGGAAACTCCAGTTTAACATCCATACCTTCCTAATCCAACTCCCATCGAGGTTAATGAAGGTTGCTTTGCCTTTCTTTAAACCTCAAGTGAATGTGTAGGAGTCGTGTACAGTTTGGCTGTATGGACCGGAGAGGGGCTGAGGTTAGATACAGCCAGAAACACAGGTAGCAACTCTGTCACATGGACTTGCTCTGCGAAACCTGGGGGAGCACGGCCCCAAAACCCTCACTCACCGCTGGCAGGAGGACGTGGTACTGCAGATCTAACGTGATCTGCTAGTTATTTTAAATCTGAGTTTGGCAGGTCACTGAGCTACACTGACTTTGAAAGCCAGGCTTGATGTTTGTACATTTTGAACGTTACAAAAAGCCCTAGCTGACACAGACGAGTCTGTTCTCAATATAAAAGAGGCTCAGCTGGAATTCAGGACAGCTGGACATCTTTTGACAGAGTTGGGTCACAGGAGGTTTAACACATGGCCCAGAAAAGGTGGCAAATATTTTGCCTAAGTTTCTGAGCTTTCACAAGCTAACCCAAACCAACTTTACAAACATCTAGGACTTCACCACAGTTCAGCTTCAGGCACTTTATGCACATCTACAAGCACACCCAGGTTCACATGGTCCTCCTCTTTCAGGGTCAGCCCCCAGCAAGGCTTTCAAAAATGGACTCACCCTCCACTTTTCCTCTACAGAGCTGTTCTCCAGTCCCTTACCTGGACGACGGGGTGGCCTCCGGTCGGCGCCTTGACGGCCCCTCGGCTTCCCTCCGTTTCGTAGTGCGCCCGGTGGTGGGGCTTCGGCTGTACCTCGATCCGCAGCTCGTAGGAGCCAGACTGGCTGGAGAGCGGCCACTCGAGGGGCGGGAGCGACTGGACAGGCAAACTGGGCAGAGAGAGACCACACCAGCTGAATCTCTTTAGCACTTTATTTCTCAAAGCCCTAATCCCTTCTTCCTCCAAGTACCCCACTGGGGCAGCTCTTGCTGAAACGGAGTCTGCTATTAATTTCAATGAGAATATGCTGTCCTGCTCACGTTTGATTACAAACTCTGCTGAACTTCAGGACAAACATAATAATCCCTGTGGGCCCATCTCCTTGCAGAAGAGAATAGAATATTTCTATTTAAGAAACAGAAATATCTGTAGCAGTTATACTTTTTCAAAGACCCCCCTCTTTTATCTAGCTTTTGCTGTGCGTCTTAAACTTTGATCACAGAACATATATTGTGAAATATTAACTCCATTTACCATTACTTACCAGTTGCATAAATTAGTATTATTTATGATTTCCATAAATATTAAAATGCACACAAATAAAATGCTAAATATTCTTACCTGATACTAGTTTTCCTGTTATCAAAATACACAAGGGTTTATAACATGAAATTAATACATTGTAATGTACAACTAGAGCTTGCACTGGATTTTAAACAACTCTTATTTTGTTAGTACAAACTGCTGCCAGGACCGATCTAACAAGCCAAGGAAAGTCACAGCCCATGTTCTTTCGCTCACAATTTGTGTTTAGCAGTGCGGGATAACGTCAGCGTGGGGACAACCTTGCTGCCGAGCGGGATGGCAGGGCTGACAGGGTGCCAGTGGTGACTGCACACATTTGGCAACCTCCGTCCTGGCAGATACGCACCACTCGGGGCCCAGACCTGCGTGCCGCCAGTGCCAGGCAATGGAGGGAGCTGATGAGGGTAGTGCCAATGACTGAGATTTGGGTTAAACAACAATTAACAAATTAACAACCAACAATAAGTCACTAAAAGTTGACCGAATGCTCAGTCTGACTTGGAGCAGCGTGCTCTATTTTGAATCAGGAAATATTTAAAGTATTTTCATCCCTGGTGGAAATTTGTAAGCGAGACATTCTCTGAATTTAGAAAAGCGATCAAACCATTTTCTTCAAAAGCAGCAGGATGGAACGAGAGTGTTAAGCCTCTGTTGTATGCTATGCTATCAATGAACCACTTTGATGATGTTTCTTCCAAACCCAGATTTTTTCATCTCTCGGAATCATAATGGATTGGGCTCCCATTAACCAATGCTGTCCCTGAGCACTTAGCTCTGGTGTGCAACAGGATCTGCCCAAGGAAACACTCCCTAGGGATCACTATGCATGACAGAGGACATCACGCCATGAGAAAACACGCAACCACAAGCAGCATTACATACCTGCAGATAGGTATTGCAGGCACCAGTTGCTTTGTCCAGGATGGAGGTACCAACAAAATTGATTCTGGGGCTGAGTTTCTCCTGTCCTCCTGCTCACAAGGCCCGTGGAAGTCAACAGTCTGAAAGACGTGACATGGAATGCTGTTTTTGTGGGAAGGCATTGATGAAGGATCAGGGCTGGTTTTCCAAATTTTCGTGGGAACACCACAGGAAGGATCCGTAGGAAGGCTGTTCATAGCATCCATGGAAAGAGAAGCGCTGGGCAACTGCGTGTAAGTAACTGAAGAGTTGTCTTCTCTCAAGGGGATGCGAGGAGAGGATTGTGGAGAGGGGGTCCTTGACTGTCGTGGAGAAGTGGAAGGCAGCTGAGTACTGTAGAGCTCAGTGCAAGAGTACCTCCGTTTTGCACCTGGTGATGAAGACCTTGAGTTGGGACAGGGTGATGGTGAATGTCGTCCCAAGCAGGTTTCCTCCGTGATGCTTGTTCGTGGTGACATTATTGGAGAGGTTCTAGGAGAATAATGAGTATGGATGTTTTGAAACTGTGGACAAAGGTCATCACTAGGACCATTATTTGGTGAAACACATGGTGATGTGCAAGGAGATACATTTGTCTCTGAAATGAAACTTGCAGAGGAGCCGCTACTAGCTGGGCTCAAACACAGTGGTTCTCTGTAGCCCTCAAAGCCAGGGACAGGCAGGGTAACCCTTGGGCTAGTGGTAGCTGAGTTTGACTGATGTTCTACCAAAAGAACATCTGTGTCTCTGCTGCGGAAGGGACCCCCTGAATGAATCAGTTCATGATATGGAGTAATTTCAATCCTAGGGCTCGGAGCAGAGGCCCCTGCAGCGTTGGCAGGGTGTGTAGGTGTTGTCCCTATGCTATCTGGCTGTCCATATCTGCCCATGGGATCTGCAGAAAGGCTAGAAAAAGGCAGGGGGCATGGCTTGAGGCCACAGTCCAAGACATCATGAGCGTATGTAACTCCAGAGGGTGGGCTGTTGGTTTTATGTGGAGTCGGTTCTTCTGGAAAAAGAAGGGTCTCTTTAAGACTATAAATACTATTACAGAAGCTGAGCAATCATGGATTTAAAAAAATGCATATTTATAAACTGGTTGTGATCTGATATTAGGTAAATATTTGTTTAATTATTTTTAACTGCAATTAATGCTTGTGAAAAGTACTGGATTAACAGCCAGGGAAGCTCAAGTGCTCAGAGCAGATGCAGCATGGACAGAAGCACTGCAAACACCTCCACACCGCCTGGCCGGGCTCCCTCTACCTGAGCCCTGAGCTAGAGGGATCACCTGGAAGGGTCAGCAACACGTCAGCCTCTCGGCCCATTCCAACGCTGGCCTTCCTATTCTTTCTGCCAAATACACCCCTTAGCACCAATTGGGGTGTTGTGACTTCGGTCAGCTTTTGTCAACCGGGAGCTGAACTGAGACCATCATGTCACAAAACCACTTCCAAATAGGTCTATGTAAAACCAAAAGGTTGAGGAACAGCTTTTGGTGAAGGGAGAAAAACTTTTCTCACACAGCAAAGTCCAGCCAGAAAAGGCTTCATGAAACCAAAGCTGAGCTCAAGCTCTTAAATGAAAAAGTCAGTTCTGTGTGATGATTTGTTTGGCTCCATATCACGTCAACAAGTTTTGGTGACAGGTTTCACATGAGAAAGCACCAGATGATCAGAAAACACATTCATAGATATTAGTTAGAAAAGAGAGGGAGAGAGAAAGGATCCAGCCCCATGTTTACAGGCAATCACTTTCCAATTTCAGCTCAAGGAAAGTCTTGGCCAGAGAGGGATTATAAAATACACAGTAACAGGTAAGTGTGTTCACTGCAACCCTCTCTCCTGGTGCAAAAAATCCTCAATTTTCAGAGATTCTCAGTCTTGCAAACTGTCCCCAGTTTGCAGAGTACAGGGATGCTTCTAGGCAATACAGAATTCCCACCGGCATCGCTGAGCCCGGTTCTGGTCTCTTCCCAGCATCCCATCTGGTGCTCAATGCCAGCGGCATCCGAGAGGGCAGAGTCAAGCCAAGTACCCCTGGGACAGACCCCTCGACGTACATCAGCTCCTGCAGCTTCCCCAGCCTGGGAGCTGAATAATATTTGTCATCACACAAAAGCATGCAAAACATTATCAGGATTTTTGTATGTTTTTAAAGATTTCAATGTATCCAGCAGGAAATATCTGAAACAGCTCCACAGTTTGAGATTAATTCACACTATCTGCTCACCCTTGTGTCAGTATGTGTCATAGGCAAAGAGGGTTTCATTTAAATATTTAAATAACTGTTCCAGCATTTTCTCCCACTCCTACACTACATGAGGCAGCATTTCCCATGAGCAAATAATATTGTACATCAAGCCAGGTAGGAGCTGACTGTGCTTTCTGCAAAGGTAGCAAAAGATCGTAGTGAAACTTTTGCACGCAGAGAGACTGTGATTTAATTTCAGGGGTTTCTGTTCGTTTTCAGTTTTAAACGCTTCTTAGTGTGAAAGCAAAATCCTCCACTGATTTTTGACTGCTACTTTTTGTGCTCAATGTTTTGCACAACCTGGAGAAAACTCCACAAAAAATAAAAATGTAGCAGGAACACAATGAGCCTTCGTGTTTAGCGGGAAACGCCGACCAGCCGACCAAACAAACCAGCACACAGGAAGTCTATGTGACGGGATGGGGGACGACTGGGAGAGTCCAGCTTGCAGATTTCTTAAGGTTCCCTCTGGCTTTTAATCTCAGCACACAGCTGTTTTGGGGATGGGAAAACAGCAACGAGCAACTGAATTTTGAGCCGAACATATTTTTAGCATCGTTGATCTTGGATATCAGAGCTTTGTCACTCACAGGATTACCGGGGCATTCACATCACTCAAACTCTGATGCATCAAGCCTAGATATTGATGCTATGATTCACTTTGAATAAAATTCATCACTCCTTCGGACTCAATAGAGCAACACACCCCTCCGCAGTCACACAAAACATCACTCCCACTGCTTTCAGAAGAATCACTCCCATTTAAATTGATGCAAGAGAGCAAAATCAGCACCAAGCAGAGTGAGGCTTGACGCCAGGACTTGAGGCAGGACTCGTACAGTGATCAGCAATCGCAGAAAAGTTCTCCAGGCTGAACAGCTTCACATCAAGGAACAGGCGACCGTTTCGGTTCCCCATTCAACACAGCTACAATGCGAGCTGCCCCCACCGTACACATTAAACCATGTTGTCTGTGCCAGATACACAGACAACAGATAAAACATTACAACTCCTCACAACACATGTTGAGCAGCAAAGCTGGCACGTATAGATTTGTCTTGAGGGGTACGGGGAAAGCAAACATATATTTTTATGTGAACATGTAATTTTTAAAGTCTTCTGAATAACAACCACACACCACCACCCACGCTTTCTGCCTATTAAAAATTGGGCTTTAGATAACCCAAGTTTTCTTTACTTTTCTCCGGAATATTGTGTTTAAATGAGCACTTTCATCCTTGGCATTCACCCTCCAAGAAGATCCATGTTCCAGATATTAATAACAATGCTTACGCACAACAACAAGCTGCAACATGCCCTCGCCTTCACATAGCACTCTCGCAGAGCATTCCTCTGCAGTGCTTTACGGGCCGTGCAAACCGGGATTGCTCACTCAGCGCTCACAGGCAGCGAGCGAGGCAGGCACCCTTTGCCAAGCAGACAACACCCACAGCCTTCTGTAGAGCAAAAATATTTAGTTTCCCCCCACATGGCAAATTATCAATAAAGCAGGCAGCTACACAGGAATGTGGGCAAGACTGCAGACAAGAAAACCTCGGCTCGTTTGAAGAGTGCCTGGGGAACCGCGCCAGGTAGAGATGCCCAGAGGCGGAGGCTGCGTCTCGGGCAGGGGAGAGGCTGCCGGCCCTGACTCATCGGCACGGCTTCGTCAGGACCCAGGGCTTGGGGGGTTTGGGGAGATCTCCTGACCGAGTCCCAGCCCTGCATAACTTCAGAGGTACAATGAAATCACTGTCCCGGGTGCTATTGCCCACGACTGTGATGTCACAGTCTGTCGCCATGGAAACGCTGGTGATGCTACAACGCAAGGCTCTGACCTCACCGGGGGAGGGAAAAGGGGTGGTTGGGTGAAGCAGCATGTGCTGCTCTCCGGAAGTAAACGGCTCTTCCATCAAAATCAGGAGAAATTGTGCTTTTTGCTTCAGTAGGAGGGGACTGGCTACCCCACGCCCGGCCAACTTGGCTAAGGCAGGCTGGGGTTTGGAATCCGCTTGAGGAAGGGACAGACCCCAGCCAACAGCCCAGCTTCCCCAGGCGAGCACCACGGGAGTTTGGTTTTGTAAACAATGTCAAGCTCCTGCTTTTGAGAGGGGCAGCAGGGGACAGGGACAGGTTGCTCCCTGGCAGCCCAGCTGCTTTGTCTCTGCATTTACAGAGACCAGCAGGAACATGGAGCAGCCTGGGGCACGGGAATGGCTCCAGGCAGATGGCCCCAGCAATACCCATGCTTCTGCCCGGGCTGCCAACGTGAGCTTGGTTAGGGTGGCAGGAGCTGAGGACAGCAAACCTCACACTGCTGGCCCTCTGCCACACTGGAGACGGCAGGAGGCAGCCCACCAGCTGGGCTCTCCAAGGAGGTGAGAGGCTATCGCGCCCCCTCACAAGAGAATAATTATGTGACAGATCAGCCTAGCAAAGGTGTTTTTCAAGAACTGAAGCAGCTTTGAAACCTTTATGCAGATGCCCCAGAGATACAGCTTGGCACCCAAGGCTGTGCCACCTTCAAGGGTTCATCTGTCCCTGCATATTGCATCCCAGAACACAGACTGAAATACTCCTGCAAAGGACTGTCCTCTCCACTGCTTTTCTGATGGACAGCTCGGCGAGCAGCACAGCAGCTTCAGCACAGCTCCTCTGACACCCCTCTGCATGTGCAGTTACAGTGCTTCCCCACCTCCCTTCACTTGGGCATTTCCCAGCCTGAGGTTTCACTGCTGAATCATCCTCTGACTCAGTACCAAAAGATCCTTCTTGTTTGAAAGGGGGTTAAAAGAAAGCGAGCTTCACACCCAGACAACACTGGCACCTCCTCACGTTCTCAGTCAGCTTTACTGCCAGCAAACAGCCTACTCCCCTGTGTCATCCAAACCTCACGACTAGGGAAGACCTACCTCCACCCCCTCTAGGATCCCACCCAAACTGCCTCCAAGCTGGCAGCTTTTATTCCCCCCTTTTTTCCATAGCCTTTACCCAGTTACTAGTTCACATGACCATCTCTCCTCTTCCCACAACAGGGAATGGAAGCAGGGCTCTGCGTCCTACCGTATTATAAACAAACAGCAAACCACCTCCTATAGACAGACTCATGCAGCATTGCCTGCAGCATGCAGGCAGCTCCACCAACCACCCGGTGGTGGGGCAGCCTCCCCAGGGGGGTACCTTCAGGACTGCCCTTAGTGCTGATTAGCTAGAAGAGTTAAAACACAGGTGAAAAAGATCAAGAGATTTAAGTTTCAAGGCCTTAACCCTTGATTTGAAAAACTCCTTTTCACATACCTCTGAAAGGCAGAAAGGAAAACCCACAGCGGGTCCCGCTGGGCTCCAGAGATTTCCCAAGCTCGGACGGGACGCACACCAGCGTGTGCGCACATGGCTTTGCAAGGGCCCACCCTCTGCTGTTTTTTAAACAAGGCAATAACACCAAAGCCATTCAGTCAGCCAAATGTGACCCTGCCAGTTAGCATGAAATTAGGGAATAACAGATCACCCAAGCAACTGCATTCCATGATGGGTTTATACAAATCATCATCTAGGAAAAGCTAAAGATAGCTGTGTGCAGGGCAAGGGAGCCACGGGAGGGCAGGGGGAGAAGTTCGGTTTTGACCTCACGTCCGTTTGCTGCAGTGCAGCTCCTGGGATTTAAATGGAGTTCCTTATTTGCATAAGTAAGAGTCCAATTTTTTTTAATTAATTTCCTTACTGTCATTTGAAGGGGCCAGCCCAGAGCTTTTTTGC